ACTTCGGAGAGAACTTCTGTGAATTCATCTCCTCTGCTCAACTATGATTTAAATAGCAGGATTTGCACAAAGAAAATCAATGAAATATTTAAGTAATTGTTATTGCAATATAAAACCGGAAATAAAGAATTATTATTACAATCCAAAATATCTTTCGGCTTTAAATAATTTTCAAAAAGTTGATAATATTTAAAAAAAAAAAAATTAACCAATAAATGCAGACTCCTTACATTAACGGGTTATGAAGGAAACTCCATCAATCCTCGAAAGATAATCTTTACTTGACTTAAGAAAACTATTTTTTGAAAAAAAATGTTTTAATAAAAAAAGAATGAATAAATTTCAATCGACAACAGCAATGGCCGCCCGGACATTTGAATGCTGAACGTCTCCGTATATAGAAACGGCTAATTTTACTTGTACTATGGGAAATGACGAGATCAGATGTTACACTTTGATGTCCAGGGATTAAAGGAAACTGTAACGCATGTAGGATGTAGTATTGGTCAATGATTGTAGAATATATATATATATATATATATATATATATATATATATATATATATATATATTGAAGCAATAATCTAATACCACAGAACAGGAATATCGATTTAAATAAACATAACTTTATGTTCACTTTTTTTTTTTTTAAATATCCGGACCGAGGCTGCCTTTCGGCCAATGCATCATCAGGGTCCAATCACTGGTAACTTTTAACTCATTTGCATTGATAAGACTGGAACACACTTAAAATTACGAAATACGTAAAATTAAGAAGAAAAAATCAAATACATTTACGATTAAAATACGTAAATAAATTTTTTTAAAATATTCTGATCTAGTGGAGCATAAAAAGGAAAAAATAAAACTCAAGTATCTCCGAATAAATTCAAGGATCTTAAAAAATTCTTCTTTTGCTTGCACAGTACAGGTTGGAATAATTTTAAGCATAAAGCTTCCAAAATTAATAAATGATGTTTTGATCTGCCTGTATGCAAAATGGAAAACGACTCAGTCGAAAACGAGACGAATATGATTCATTATATTAATAGATGTTGTCCTATTGAAGACTCGTGCGCTGATTGCGACACACGAGAATGATTACAAGAATGTAATCTAAAATATCTAGGAACATGTTGGCCGAAAGGCAGCCTACGTCCGGATATTAAAAAAAAAAACATAAAATTATTTTTATTTAAATCAATCATATATATATATATATATATATATATATATATATATATATATATATATATATATATATATATGTTTATGTATATATATATATATATATATATAGATAGATAGATAGATAGATATATGTTTTATGTATATATATATATATATATATATATATATATATATATATATATAGATATATATAGATATATATAGATATATAGATATATATGTATGTTTATGTATATATATATATATATTAAATATATATATATATATATATTAAATCATAATTAAAAATTCAAGCCTGATGAATTAGTAGAAGAAGGAAACTTAAGTTGCACTTCGAATTTAGGTATATGTATATTTATTAATATATATTTCTTAGCTCTGTGTAAACACATCGAGCACTGTTAATTTTACACCTTAAAGTAAATTTAGTAAATATTTGTCAGCTTGCTTGTGTATGTGTGTATATATATATATATATATATATATATATATATATATATATATATATATATGTGTGTGTCTGTGTCTGTGTGTGTGTGTGTCTGTGTGTTTGTGTGTTTTTCTTCTTCTTCTTCTTCTTCTTCTTCTTCTTCTTCTTCTTCTTCTTCTTCTTCTTCACACCTTAGTCAACCTAATATAGATCAAATTAATTTTCCCATAAACTGTTTATTCTATTCTAATTTCATTCTTGAAATCGATAACACAATTAACACAATTATATTTACCTTTTCCATGAAAAAAAACAGACGAATTACTCCACGGTTTTGTCAGAAGTACTTTTTTTATTTTAATTTGATTTAACCCCAAGCAAAGCAGAAAACCCATTAAGACACAAAGTGTTAATGGTTGGGAAATAATTAAAGAACCGAAACATTAAGCCAGACCCCAAACGTAGAGCAATAGATATCAATCTCATTCCTCATACAATTACCTCAGTAATAAAAAAGATGATCACTTGCTGCTAGTCTTTTCTAAATGTTCCCCTATTCTTCTTAGTTATGTGACTCCTTTTATCTTTCATGAAGAAAAGTTCAGTCGAATTCCCTCCCTCCTTATTTTCTTCTATAATTTTTGAATATTCAACTGTAATGTCAACCGACATCTTCTGATGCTTTGATCCTCATCCACGCCCTTCTCTATATCCTTTCTTCAAACACCCCCTCTTTACTCTTGCTCTCCCTCTCTGTAACCCCTTGCGTGCTAGTAGCACCCCGCCTTGCTTGGGGCGAAATGCTAAAAAACAAAAACCCCAAAACAAACAAAATCGAAAAACATTCCTCAGATCTTGCAAATAAATCATTTTACTGATATTTGTAAGACATTGAAAGTATATGGAGATAATTGATTTCGTTACAAATGTAGGAGATGTCGTATTTCATCAGGTACAAAATGACGAAAAGCTATGGTAGAGGGAGGATTGTGTTGCGTCGATGATCTATTGGGAGACAGTTTTAAAAACCATGAATTTATAATATCCTTACGGAGCCATCAAGAAAATCTCAAAATTTACGCCACTAGTTCAGGCATAATGATTAGCAAAATCAAGAATGATATAAGTTGTTCGTGAATGATATGAAAAATTAAGATGAACTTTTATGGAATACATCCGCACGCCATCTGAAACACGGGAATATCAAGATTGCGAAAAGTTACAGCTCCAACCAACGTTTGCCATTTTCAAAGTTAAATGCGGCATAATGTCTTTCTTTTCGTTCGAATTTCCTTTCTTTTTCTTTTATTTTTTCATACCCTTTTTTGATATAGCTTCATTATATTTCTTCCTGTCTATATTTCTGAGAGGAAGTATTGTAACTACTTCCACTATTTACATACTTCGGCCAGTTCTTCTCATCTCTATTTTCATATTCACGACGTTTCGGCTATTGTACACTCCAACCGTCTTCAGAATCCGACTATATTTCGGAGATGAGTTATTGTAGCTATTTACATTATTTACATTGTTCGGACTGTTGTCCTCATCTTCGGCCTTCTGCAGGTGATATACATTGGAAAGGACACATAGCCTAGTGGATAAAAAAAAAAAAAAAACGTTGTTTGAAGTAATTCAGTGACTTGACCCAAACACATGTGTGTTCAATACCTGGCCAGCGCAGATATGAACAAAAACTTGAAGAGTTCTGTTACTAAAGGGAATTAATTGATGAAACTGAAATATCCGGAAAAGCCATAACACATGGAACTGGGACAATCTATCACTGTGTATTAAAAAAGGATTTAGTTAGAAATTCTAAAGTATATCACCTTTTCCGAATTCGTTTAATTCTTTACTTCTTTAGTTTCATTTATTTCTTTCTTTCTTTCTTTCTTTCTTTCTTTCTTTCTTTCTTTCTTTTGCCTTCTTCATTCTGTTGGCTTGTTTTTCTTGTCTTTCTTTTGACCTCTTTCTTTCTTACTTTCTTTTTTCTTTCGTTCTTTCTTTCTTTCTTTCTTTCTTTCTTTCTTTCTTTCTTTCTTTCTTTCTTTCTATCTTTCTTTCGTTCTTTCTTTCATTTGGCTTCTTCTTTCTTTCATTCTTTTGAATTTCTCTTTCTTTCTTTCATTCTTTTCCTTGTCTTTCATTTCTTTCTAATTTTCTTTTATCATCTTCGCTTTTCACTTTTCGATTTCACGGAAAACTTTTACTTCTATAGTTATTCTTTCTTTCATGATTTTTTTCTTTTTAATTTCAACAAATAATCTCCCTTAATTAGTTTTTTTTTCTTTTTTTTTTATCAGGTTATATTTATCATTTGGGATTCATTACACCTTTTTCATTCTTCCTTATTCTCTCTTTCTATCTTTCATTTCATTTTTTTCCTTCTTCTTCTTTTTTACTTTTACAGCTTTGCTACAGGCCTTACAGGTTCCATTTTTATTTCTAACTTTATTTATTTATTTATTTATTTATTTACTAGACCCTATGTTTCATTTCATTCGAATATATTTTTCATTTTGTCTTTTTCGATTTTCTTTTATTTTTTCTTTTTTTTTCTTTCTATCTTTGGAATTTTAATTTCATATTCTCTTTCTGTAAGTCATTACTGACAGAACTGGAATATATCCAATAGGGAGCGATATTAGTAACATCCTTACACCTCTGTATCCTAAAAAAGTTTTGGGGAAAGGCCAGATCATTGAAACATTCATTAAAAAGAAGATTAAAAACAAATAAGCTGTTCCAATTCAATTTATTCTAGTGAGAAAATAATGTAAAAATAACAGCACTTTATCAGAAGAAAAAAATGAACAAAAAGACGGAGAGTTTAAAGGTAAAATCATTCCTTCTGTATATTGGACAAAAATAATTCTATAAAAAAGTTTATTAGCTTATTTTACTTTAAAACAGAAGGAAATTATATCCATATAACTAGCAAGCGTTTACATCGGCACCTGTCACTTTCTGGTGTTGTGTAGCTGGTTATGTCTACTGATGTTCGTTATCCGGCCATATATATATATATATATATATATATATATATATATATATATATATATATATATATATATATATATATATATATATATCAAATATGTGGTGCAGTTCAATGTGTTATTGTTAACGAATAAAAGCTTTTGGAGCGTGCAGTTGCAACGCTGACGTTGATTTTTTTTAAAAACTTAAGAGTGTGCGTTTTTTACTAAGATGGTAATTTGAGAATTTTTTTTTTATGTAGAAGTTTATCAGTCAATCTTCTACATTGTCTGATAAACTTTGTTAACAATAGCACATTTGTAAAAAAAAAATTCGATATGCATTTAATTTTTGGTTTCTGGTGCTACCTGTGTTTTACTAAAGACAAAATAATTTTCATGCTTGATGATGACTGTATGTACAGTTGAAAGTATTTACAGATTTAAAATAGACCTTATACAGCTTGCAGTTCTTAAAAAACAAAAATAAAAAAAACAAACAAGGATCATAAAATTCATCGAGTGGTTCGTAGGTTAATGCAACTTTAAACTTTTGTTTGCGAAGAGATTGCCCAATTTTATATCATTAACTTTACTAATCTACTTTTTGTATGAATGATTCATTGTAATATATATATATATATATATATATATATATATATATATATATATATATATATATATTAGAGCTGAATGCAGGATATTTTCTAGTATATTGTTATAATACTGTTACCACGGTCGATCAGTCAGTTATGTACCATGCGTGATACACTCTTAGACGATCATGTATCTTTCGATACATGACTGATGAGGCACATTCTTTCCAGCAGTAGGTTGCCATTTCTTTCTGTGGTAGGCCAGTTGCCATTTCTTTCTGCGGTAGGCCAGTTGCCATCCAAAGCTATAGAACCCGGTCTGTCCTGCTATTTACCCATAGTTGGGTGGAGAAGAGGATACATATCCTCTCAAGGTTATTAGCTCGTAAGTGAATGCAATGTATTGCAATTGGACTTGAATTCGAACTCGGTTCTCTTATCCCTCAATCCGAGCCGCTATCCATTACTCCATTTCCGATATAAGGCCAACAGTCCCCGTCGTGGGTGCGAAGTCGTCAGTCGTCCATCGTCTCCCTACGTATATAACGTATTTAGTCATGAGTCGGAGGGGAAAATGAATGCGATCTCTATCCGATAATTAGCTAACTAAGCCACATAAGCAAGCTAATAATCCGAATCCTGAAGGAGAAAATAGTCCAAGTAAAGTGTAGCTTTTTTCATGGTCACTGAAACAAGAAATATATTCGAACTTTTAGGAAGTGTTTATCTATATGTGAAAAATCCCGAGACCGCTTTTCAGATTAATAGAAATATGTGTAACACAAGTCTGTGTCTTCGCACCAGTTTTGTTTAATCTCTACACAGAATTCCAGACCCCACACGTATTATACTGTAATGCTAGTAAAACATTAACAATATAAAATACTGTTGATGGCAGAAAAGTACAAAATTACACATCTTAGACGAGGTAGTAACGAGAAACAAGAAAAAAGGATTAGACGTTGACATTTAGAAGATAGAAGTTATGGTTGTCAGCAAGAGAAAATATCCCAAAAACCGGACTCTGAACAAGAGATACCAACATCAAACACGTATGGAAGAGTATTAAAAGACGATGGAAAATGTGACACTGCCATTGGTTTAGAGAAATATGCATTCCAAATGAAATGCGTAGTACTAAGAAACAGAAGAATTTCGTTAGAATCAAAGAAAAGTATGTTGAACTCTCATGTTTGGCAACGTTGCTGGACAATCTCCTTACAGATGACGAGAAAGCTGCACGCAACAGAAATGGGATCCGACAAAAGGATGCTGAGAATTCTATAGAGAGAACGAGTAAGAAAATGGTAATCAAACGGTTAGACTGAGTATCAGAAACAGATTTAGAATGATTTCATTTGATTAACAGAATATCAAATCATTTAATGCCAATACTTAATTTTCTTGGTAACTTTGCAATAATAAAAATATTATATATGCTATTCTGCTTTTACAGTTGAGTATATGGTAGATAATACTCAGCGTTTTTACATATACATGTTTGTGTGCACATAAATGCTGTGATATGTGTGTTTTATATTATAGTTTTGTTGAATATATATTGGATTACAATTTCATTAAAAGAATTGTAGTATATTATATAGATTAATGTCATGAAATATTTCATGTTAATTGATTTAGTGTTGTTAATTTTGCTATAAATAGGTATTGTTTGGTAATTTTTATATAAAAATGTATTTTTATACATTCATAGTGTTTTTTGGGGATTTCACCATAGCCGGAAACCTAATAGGTGCTACCACACCGGCGGGACCTGGGAACGACAATTATGTGGTGGTTCCACATTCCTCAAAAGAGCCAACCCCTCGATCAGAGGCCTTGCTGCCAGATATAGATTTTCGTCATATACAAGAGTACAGAAAAATGTAGAATTTTCTTTGGCTGAAGAAAGAAGACCTTGCAAAAAAAAAAAAAAAGAAAAAAAAGGATCCTCCAGGGGTATGTTAAGGGCGAGAGAGAAAAAGTGGCAGTAGAACAGCTACCTAACGAGCTTGGGCGAAAAAGAAAAGCTGGCGAAACGAAAATGGCACAACACATATCACAAGTATAACTGCGCGTACATTTAGCGAAATTAGAAACAGGATGACAGGACTGAGTTCAAATTTCGGCCCCGGCTGATGCAATCAGTTTCTTAAATATGTCCCTGAGAAATGTACGAATTCATCTGATTTCTTCCTCGTAATTAATACATTAAATATTAGATGAGACTGGATCTTTCCTCTTAATAATAATATAAATATTCTGATGATAAAAAATGTACTTCTCGATAGGATCGAAGCTG